GGCCAGCCTGGGGGGGGGACGTGGGGTGGGGCGGGCCTGCGCATGAGGCTCGGAACTCCCCCAGCTTTCTGCGAAGTCGTCTCAGCCTTCGCCGGAGACGCAGAAAGCTGCTCAGGAGGCGCGAGGGCTTCCGAGAAGTCCCGCCGCCTTCGAGGAGGCCTTCTCCGTCTCGTTTCCCCCCCTCGCTCGCCGCCGATTTCCTGTACTCGAGCCCATTCCCGTTCGCGTCGTGGAAGGTCACCGCGGGAGGTGTTCTGCAAGTTTCGGCTTCCGCGGGCCCCTGCCCAGGCCCAGGTGCCGTCGAGGGGCGAGTCGGGAGGCGACGCCGAGTCCAGGGGGAGGGGGTCGAGACCTCTGGGGGTCCACGTTTAGAAAAACACACGACGACGGGGGTCTCAGTCAGGGAGGAGGGGGAGAGGGAGTTACGGAGTTACAGGGTTACAGCCACAGCAGGCGTGGCAACGACCAACTCTGATCAGCGGAGTCGGACCAGGGGGCGGAGGAGTAGGCCACACCCTGTCCCAGGGCAGTCTTGGGAGCGAAAGTCGTAGCCGTTGCCGCCTCGCGGCAGCGGGCGGGGCCGCGCTCGCGCGCGAGCGGGAGGTCAGGAAGGAGGGGGAGGGGAGATCAGGAAGAGAGGGGGGAAATGGAGGTGGAAGGGGAGTCTAGGCCGCCCTAAAGGGGTAGATGTAGACGTGCTCGGTGGATCGCGCCGCATCGCCGATGCATCGACGGTGCGGCTCGATGTGGAGCCCGATCTTCCCAACGCCGACGTCGCCGATGCATCGACGACGCATCGGCGATGCTTCGGCGATGCGGCGCGATTATCCGACCCCGTCTACCTCGACCCCAACTGGGTGGCCTCCAGACCATGACCCCCGACGTCGTGATGCCATCGCAGCGTGGACCGCTGGAGGTCTGGACCCCTCCTCTGGGACCGGCTTTTCGTCCCGAGTCGTTCTTGGACTGCCCCGGGGCCCGGTGAGGGCTCCAAGAGGCCGAACATGTGCAAACACCTCCCGCCGTTTTTTTTCGCAACGGCTCCGTAGCCTTTGGCCTGAGTCGGGTCTGTCCCTCCACACGAGGAATATCCCCAAATAGTCTAAACATAGTCGGGAGACTTTTTTTTTTTGTTTGTTTTTTCTTTCTTTTTAAAAAACTATGTTTGAGCACTTTTGGGTACTTGTTGGGTATGTTTGATGTTTCGTCGACACTCCCCCTGTAGGGGGACAGGCCCGACGTTACCGTAGCCTTTGGCTCCCGGGAGGGCTGGCCGCCCAGCTGCCGCGCTCATGGGGGCCAGCCGCAGCGCCCTGCGGCTCGCGGCGGCGGCTCTGCCCGGCCTTGCGTGCGCGGCCGCTGGCATCGCGGGGGCAGAGGCGGCGGGAGGCGCCGTGGGCTCCGCGCGAGCGCTGGAGGCGGCGGCGGGTGGCGTCAATGTTGGATGCTCTTCTTGGGGTCCTTCCCGGGGCCCACCTAGCGGATCCGTTCGACCCCAGCTCGACCACAGTTCGACTCAGGTTCGACTCAACATTGGCTCAACATCGACGGACGTTCGACGCAGCTTCGACGCACGAGTGGAGCGAGTGTCTCCAGGAAGGTCCCCAGAATGAGCATCCAATCAATGCCGCCGAGACCTCCATTTGCCTGGCATGCTCTGCGATGTCCGGGGTGGGCGTGGGCTTTTTCGGCTGCCTCCTCGCCGCCTCCGACGTCGTCCGGAAGGCGAACGGCAACAGGCACACGCGTCGGAGCAAGCTCGGCGTCACGATTGGCGCCGTCGGCTCGACGGTGTTCGGTCTGGGCTCTCTGGTGGGCCTCTATTTCGGTCCGGTGACCTTTGTCACGATGGCGCGGACGGGGACGGCGTTGCCCGCGAACGTCGTGTTCAGCCAAGTCTTCCAGCTGAGGCCGCTGGGGCGGGACGACTACCTGGGGACGGTGATCACCATCTCCAGCGCCATCTGCTTCATGATCTTCGTCGGCCAGCCGGGCGACGAGCTGTCCAGGGACGCCTTCGAGGAGGTCATCCGGAGTGCCCCCGCCCTGTCACTGCTGGGCGGCCTCGCGGCGATCTGGGCCGCGTGCACCGTCTACATTGTGGCCCTGAGGGCTCGTGGCATGCACGAGCGGAGGGGCGTCCGCACCGCGACCGCCGTGTCCCTGATGACGGGTTGCTCGTCGGCGTTCATGGACGTCTCCACCAAGGGCTGGGCCGCTTGCCTCCGCTCGGCGGGGGGGCCGCTGGAGGTGGTCGCGCGCGGCGGCTGGCTATTCTGGGCGTGCGTCGTGGCCAACGTCTTCTTCATGGTCTTCATGCGCTTCGGCCTCATCTGGGGCTGCCAGCACTGCGACGTGCTGCTGTTCGTTCCCCTGAACTCGGTGCTGAACACCCTCTTTAGCGTCGTTGCCGGCATCGTCGCCCTCAGCGAGGGCAGCGGCGTGATCTCTTGGGCGGGCCTGGTGTTCTCGGGCATCAGCTGCGCGACGGGCACGGTCCTGCTGGCGGGCGGGCCGCAGGACGTGATCGACGACGCCAGGTCGGACATCTTCACCGAGGGCGGCGCCGAGGACGACGAGGGCGACGGCGCGGCCGAAGAGGCGAGCCCTCAGGAGCTCGGCGGCGCCGCGGGGGAGGCGACGCCGTACGTCGTCAGGCTGTGCTCCGCGGGCAACTGGACCACGGCCGTGTCCAACATGAACATGGAGCTGAAGGCGCGGTGGCGGCACAAGTCGAGGATCCGGAGTCTGGTCGACAGGATCTCGAAGGGCGGGCGCCGCCGCGCGGACAGCACGGCGGACAGCGCCGACGGGTCCTCCGAGAGCGAGGGGTCGCACGAGGGCATATGCTAATGCTATGCTGCAGGCTGTAGCGCGCAGTGTCTCGAGGCGGAGAACTGCGCGGGCCCCCCCGCGGGCGCGGCGCGCGGAGAAAAAAGCAAGCGTCAGCAGCGCAATCCCTGGCGGGAGCGTCCAACCCCCCAGGTGGGGATGCGCGCCCTGCAGGAGTACGCGCACCGCTCAGGCGCTGCACTGCAAGTGGCGTGCTGAAGGAGTCCAGGGTGGTGCTCGCTCAGACGTCGTCCACTGGGCGGTGCTTTACCGTCCTTCGGGCGTCAGGGTGCACGTGATGCGGGAGGCGGGGGTCAAGAGGGAGGTGGAGGAGGAGATCTCGATGCTGGTGGCGATGGCAGATCTCAGGCAGGAGGGTGATGCTTGTTTGTCATCCGCTCCGCTCGGCCACCATCCTTTCCCTCTCTTGCGCGCTGGCAACGAGCACTCTTGCTAGCCTGCCACGTGTCGCCATGCGGGGACGGTGGCGACGGGCGGCACCGCCCGCAAAAGCCGACACTCGCCCCGAGCGGCGGCGACGGCGACGGCTACGGCGACGGCGGCGACGGGCGGCACCTGGGGGAAACGAATCCTGAGGGAAATGTGTCCTTAGATTTTTCGCAGTTTTCGGGCTCTTTGGGCCCTCCGCGGGCCCCAGGACCGTCAGAAGACGACTCCGATCTCGTCCTGCTGGGTCCACGGCCCGTTGCCCTCAGGACCCGTTTCCCCTGATGCTAAACGTTATGCAGGAGGAGATGGGTGACGCGAGGGTGGTGGAGGAGAAGGGGAGGAGGAGGTGGAGGAGGAGGAGGAAGAGGAGGAGGAGGAAGAGGAGGAGGAGGAGGAGGAGGGAGGGGGGGGGGAGTGGGACCGACATCTCAGGGTGCGAAACGCTTGTTTTGCATAATGTTGTTGAGGATGTCTCGAGCGAAACGCTTGTTTTGTGTTCTAGATTCTCCGTCTCCTCGGGACTAGAATTCAGAGGATCTCTCAAGTGAAATGCTTGCTTTCACGTGCCCAGGTCTTGAGGATGTCTCGAGCGAGACGCTCGGTTTCACGCGTCCAGGTTGCCCAGGCAGATGTCTAGCATGAGGATTTGTTGAGGCTGTCTCGAGCGAGACGCTTGTTTGCACGTGTCCAGGTTGCCCAGGCGGATGTTTAGCATGAGGATGTGACGAGAATGTCTTGAGCGAAACGGTTATTTTCACGTGTCCAGGTCGCCCAGGCACAGTACAGCCTTCAGCATTGCAACCTGGCGCTTCCTTTCTCGTCAAGGGACGCGCCAGGTTGCAATGCCCCGTGGCACGTCGCGCGGCGCGTCCCCGTGGCGAGTCCCCCTGGCACGTCGCGCGGCGCGTCCATCCCGCGGCACATCCATTGGCACGTTCCGTAGCGTGTCCCCTTGGCACGTCCCGCGGTGCGTCCCCATGGCGCGTCCCCTGGCACGTCGCCTGGCGCGTCTCTTGGGACGTTCCGCGTCGCGTCCTCCTGGCATGTCCACCTGTCAATTAGCTCTGGGGCAGCTACTTTGTGCTCAGGCAGCTCGAGCTTAAGATCCAGATCATTTCGGTCAGGACTCGGATGCAAATGAGGACTCGATCCACAACGCTATACAATGGGGGCGCGCATAAAGAAACCATCTACTTTTCGTCAGGGTATCCTGGGTTTCTTTGCTCCGCGCGCTGCGCGTTGACTTCCCGCGGCCGTTGAAAGAGCTGCTGCGTTCAGGGTGCTCCAGGTTTCCCCTCAGGTGCACCTCGCGCACGGCTTCTCAGCGTTGGGTTTCTTGCGAGGGTTTCTTGCGGCCGCGCCCGCACTGTAGTGCACAATCGCGGCATGGCACATCGCAACTCAGCACGGCGCAGCACAGCACAGCCCTCGGCACGGTACATCAAGATCGATACATTCAGCATTGCATTTGCCCGTCGCCCAATCAGGTGTTTTTTGAAGCGTTGCCATGCCTTACATTTCTATATTCCTTGCCGGGTTCGTGGGTCGATCATGTTCAGTAAGACAAAGGCAGCGAGACAGAGAGAGAGAGAGAGAGCGAGAGAGAGAGAGAGAGTTCCAGGCTCCCACGAGGACTCCCACGAGGTCTCTTACCAAGGAGCAGGAGCAGGAGCAGGAGGAGGAGGATGAGGAGGAGGAGGAGGAGGAGGAGGAGGAGGAGGGAGGAGGAGGAGTAAGAGGGAGGAGGAGGAAGGGAAGGCGGCCTGCTCTGTACTGCGTGTGGCCTCTTTTCAGGCCCTCTCGGCCCTCGAGGGAGCTCGGGCGCCCAGCGTCTCGTCTACCAGGCGCGGGGGGTGGGTGGGGCACATTTTTTCGACTCCTCCGGCTCGTTTCGATTCGATTCCGATTCCGATTCCGAATCGATGGGGCTTCGGATTTCGATGTGCATTTCGGCTTCCAAACGGAGGCTTTAGTAGTCTATGGGTTTCCCGACTCGGCGTCTGGTTTCCGCCGATTCGTCTCATTTCGATCGCCGTTCCGACTTATCGATTTGACTCTGGGCTCTCCTGCTTCTTACCCTCGTCGAGGAGAAAAGACCCCCTTAACCCGAATGACACGGTGAAGACATGGCCTCACTGAGGTCTCCTTCTTCGCATGAGGGATCGTACTTCGGGGAGGTTTGGTTCGATACATCTGCAGAAAAGACCCCCCTCCTAAATGAGGTCCTTCCCGCAGTGTAAGGGGTCATTTTTTCGTTAATCATACCCAGCCCCCCTCGCGTCGTGAAACACTTGCAGCGGGAAGCTTTCCGGCGGTTGTCGGCAAAGGAGGGGGCCCTTACCAGGCCGCGGGGCCGTCCAACAAAAAAAGGCTCGGGAGGGAGGAAGGGGTCCAGACCAGATCTCCGGGTGTGTCGACGCTGTGGAACATCAGTGGAAGATCGCGAGGCTGACCTGAGGGGCAGCAGGGCTTCTTACAGGACCGCCGCCTGACACGGTTTTCTGTTGTTCTGCGCGCCGCCGAGCCATGCCTCGGGAACCCTCCTGCAGGCGTCGTAGGCCGAGCCGGCTTGATGCTGTCTGCGTCCCTGGGCCCTGCAGCGTTCTTTGAGGGCCTCTCGGGCGTGATTTGGGCCTCTTGAGGCCAAGTGTGCAAGGCCACCCCTGACCCGATTCACCCCCAAAGCCCCGCCACGCAAGACGTCCCACCCCCACCCCTCCCCCAGGCGGTCCTTTCCCGCACGGACTGATCAAGTCGGAGCAGGGAGAGGGGAAGGGGGGAAAGGGGGAGAAGGGATGGAGGGGCGGATGGGGTAGAAACGGGTGGAGTGAGTGGGAGACAGAGAGAGAGAGAGAGAGAGAGAGGAGAGAGAGAGAGAGAGAGAGAGAGAGAGAAAGAGAGACAGAGAGAGAAAATAATGAGAAAGAGAGAAAGAGAAAGAGAGAGCGAGAAAGAAAGAGAGAAAGAGAGAGAGAGAGAGAGATAGAGAGCAATAGAGAGAGTAGGACTGCATGCAGTGGACGTGTCACGGCGCAGTGGTTGAACCTGGCCGCGGCCGCGCCACGAAAGGGGGGAACCGCGGCACGCTTGGCGGGCCAGGTACGCGGCGGGCGACACGCTGATCGGCGCTGATTCCGCGAGCACGCTTTTATTGGCCGCTGTCCGCGGTGGATGTATCTGGCGCGTATTTCCCAGGCGTTCGACACACTTCCACTGGGGAGGCATTCAGCGAGTGCCTACCAGACCTCCCGCGCGAGCAGAGATGCGAGGAGAGGTATCCTGGCTTGGAATACAGCGGGGTGGCCTTCCTGCGCTCGTGCATACGCGTGGGGGGTACATGTACCATAGCCCCCCAGCAGGCGCATATAGGAATGATAAGATTCCTCCTCTCTCCTCCTCCATCCTCTCTCCTCCTCCTCCTTTCCCCTTCCTCCTCCTCTTCTCTTCCTCCTCCTCCTCCCTCCTCCTCCTCCTCCTCCTCCCTCCTCCTCCTCCTCCTCCTCCTCCTCCTCCTCCTCCTCCTCCTCCTCCTCCTCCTCCTCCTCCTCCTCCTCCTCCTCCCATCTCCCCCACCTCCTCCTCCCCTCCTCCCCCCCGGCTCCTCCTCCTCCCCTCCTCCTCCTCCTCCTCCTCCTCCTCCTCCTCCTCCTCCTCCCCCTCCTCCTCCTCCTCCTCCTGGGCGACGAGGCGCCGCGGCGCCACCGTGGCGCTGCCGCCCAGCCCCTCGCAGGGCCGTCCTGTGGGATGAGCAGGCGCAGCGTGCATCGGCGGCCGGCCCAGGGCGCAGTGAGAAGGGGCGGGCCCTCTGAGAAGGCTTGGCAGTCCCCCGGCCCTGTGAGAAGTTTCCGGAGCCTTCCGGGGGGTGGAGAGACCTCCTACCCTGACACGTCGATGAAGGAACTGGCCGTTTAAGTGAGACGGGGCGGGCCCTCTGAGAAGGCTCGGAAGTCCCCCGGCCTTGTGAGAAGTTTCCTGAGCCTTCCGGGGGTGGACAGACCTCCTACCCCTGACACGTCGACGAAGGAATTGGCCGTTTTCGGTTCGCGAGAGGGCGCCGCGGCCGTCGCTTTTGCGGGTCCAGGTCCGTCGGTTTCGGTCCCAGGCCGTTTTCGCTAAGGGGAGGTTTACTAAAGGGAGGTTTGTCCACCGCCGAGCCTTCCTCGAAGACAGAGAGGACTTCTCAGAAGGCGCGGGGGGGCTTCTGAGAAGTCCCGCCACCGTCTGAGAAGGCCTTCTCCTTTTCCCTTGCCCCCCTCGCTCGCCGCCAAGCCAGTGTCCAGTGTCCAGTCGTCCCCATCCCAATGGGTGCTCGCTCGCGCGGATGGGCGACGCGGTGAAGGGTCGCGGGGGGAAGGGAGGCGAAACGGAAGGCGGAGGAGCGAGGAGAAGGCGCGGCGCAGAAGGCGGGAGACGAGGACGGTCAGCCGGAGGAGCAGGAGGATCTGGGAGAGGGGCCAGAGGGCCAGAATGAGGTGAGGACGGCGACGAGCGATGGCATGCAGCCACCTCTAGGGTCGGGCTTGTGTACGCCGGCAGCGGCGTGCGAACTTTTAACCGCTCTCGGCCGCAGCTTCGCCGCGGCGCCTCTCGGAGGCGCCCGGCCGGTCAGCACGTTCCAGCCTCGCTGCGTGGTCGGGAGAAAGGTCGTGCTGTGAGGAGAGGAGGCGGCGTCCTCGGAGGAGGAGGAGGAGGACGACGGTAGGAAGGAGGAGGATGAGGATGAAGATGAGGATGAGGATGAGGATGAGGATGAGGATGAGGATGATGACGATGATGATGATGATGATGATGATGATGATGATGATGATGATGATGCTTATGCTGATGCTGATGCTGATGATGATGATGATGATGCTGATGATGATGATGATGATGATGATGATGACGATGATGATGATGAAGATGAGGATGAGGATGAGGATGAGGATGAGGATGAGGATGAGGATGAGGATGATGACGATGATGATGATGATGATGATGATGATGATGATGATGCTGATGCTGATGCTGATGCTGATGATGATGCTGATGGGGGATATGATGATGCTGCTGCTGATTGTGATGATGATGATGATGATGATGATGATGATGATGATGATGATGATGATGAATGTGATGATGATGATGATGATGATGATGATGATGATGATGATGATGATGATGATGATGATGAGGAGGAGGAGGAGGAGGAGGAGGAGGAGGAGGAGGAGGAGGAGGAGGAGGAGGAAGGACCCACTGGTATTTTCTGGACCCCCCCCGCACTTCACTGGAGTCCCCGTCGGCCTGGTTGCTGCAACTCTCGGCCCTGCCGCCTACAATGGTTGTCCGTTCTCTGTGGCTTGCTGGCCGCCGCTGGTGCTGGCCCACCAGCGGTGTGCAGGCTGGCTCGTCTCCGGTGAGCTGCACCCCGCTCTCTGCCTTTCTGGCCCTCTCCGACCTCCTTCGCGACACGACGAGCACAACAACACAAACGACTTGCGATGGCCATCAGCCGCCGGAAGCACTGAATGGTAGTTGCCATGTGAGGCCGCCTCCGGATCTCAGACATGTGAGGGCACTGCCTCCACGCCGTGTCCTGATGGGGACGTGCGGGCTCTCCAGAGGAGCGCGCACAGCTCCGGCGTTCGCTCAGCTTCGTTTCGCTTCCCTGCAGCCAGAGCTCCTCCTCCCCTCTCTCGGGCCAGCCTTAAGTCGGGCCTGTCCCTCTACAGGGGGAGTATTCAAAAATAGTATTAAAAACATCGGGGGACTATTTTTGAGTGTTTTTTGACCATTGTGGAATATTTTTTTGAGTATCATTTATTATCGCCCCAAATCCCCCTGTAGGGGGACACGCCCGACTAAAGGCCAGCCGCGTGAGCCACGCGTCGGCGTTTCTCGGCAGCACCCGCCGCGCGGCGCCTGCTAAGCGTGCGTGCGCAGTGAGAGGCGCCGCAGGGCCAGCCACGATTCAGGAGGGAAAAATCACACGGACACAGTGAATCGTCGATTCCCCCGAAACAGGGGAAAATATGGGAAGTGGGGGGGAAGACGAAAGCCCCAGAAATATGGGAACATATGGGGAATACCTTTATCTGTGTGTATTGGTTCGTGTGTCCTGGAGCCCAGTCAACGATGGAAACATCACGGTAAGGAGGAGCAGGGAGAGTGGCACCGGCGGCAGCAACACGGCCGGGAGCGCTGGCTCAGCGTGTCGCGCCGCCGGCTCTGGCCCACCGTGCCTCGGCGCGACACGCCCACCGCGCCCCTGTCGTGGAACGTCAACCTCCCGAGCCGTGCGAAGCTCCTCGCCCCGCGGAGCGGAGCGACACGCTGTCCGCTCGCAGGGGCCAGTGGTGGCGCCGGGGCCGCCGCCGCGACGCCCTGAGCACAGGTCTTTGATCACATCCCCCTCCTCCTTCCTCTTCCCTCCTCCCCCTTTCTCCTCCTCCTCCTCCTCCCTCCTCCTCCTCCTCTTCCTCCTCCCCTCCTCCTCCTCCTCCTCCTCCTCCTCCTCCTCCTCCTCCTCCTCCTCTTCCCTCCCTCCTCCTCCTCCTCCCCTCCTCCTCCTCCTCCTCCTCCTCTTCCTCCTCCTCCTCCTCCTCCTCCTCCTCCTCCTCCTCCTCCTCTCCTCCTCTCCTCCTCCTCCTCCTCCTCCTCCTCCTCCTCCTCCCTCCTCTTTCTCTGCGTTCCTTCCGCTTTGGCGCCGATGCCCTTCCAGACGCCGGGGCACGGCGCGTAACGGGTCTCGCGGGCCGAGCTCGTTCTGCCTCTTCGCGGGGGCGCTCGTGGAGGCCGCTGCCCTCGCTCTGGTCGTCCTCTTCGTCTGGAGCGCCCTGGTCTCAAGCCGCCGTCGCCGCTCCTCGTCTTCCCTCCTCATGTCGCCCTCCTCCTCCTTCCTCCTTGTTCCTCCTCCTCTCCCTCCTCCTCCTCCTCCTCCTCCTCCTCTTTCACGCTTTCAGTGCTCCTTTGACTACGCTGTTAGAGGCAGGCTTGATGTCGGTACGCCTGCTCCGAGGACCGTTGCAGTACTGTACCTGGACGTTCGGCCGTCGCCGAGGGTCAGCGGAGCTCTTCGCCCCCAGGTCGCGTGCAGGGTGCCCGTGCTGCGGCGCTTCCTCACGGAACCGTGCTCACAGTGCTCATCCTCTACCCCCCCACTGCGCTCGCCCTTTCGATACCGGCGGGCGTATTTCGAAGTTGTTCTGTCCCGATCTTGTATACATCGTGCACCATCCCCCGTCCCTCATGTCCCCGTCCCTGACCGTCAACGGCCCGAGCTGTTGGAAGCCTCTCCGCCCCGCGGAGCGGAGCGACGCGCAGTCCGCCCGCGAGCGGCAGCGTGTGCATGTTCGCCGGCCCTCGGGCTGCAGGCCCTCAGCCTGTCCTCGCCGTGCCCGTCTGTAAGGCTCCTCCGCCGTGGAAGGGGCCGAAGTTCAGATCCAGACGCCTGGGAAGGGCCCGCGTCCCCTCCCTCCCCCTCCCCCTCCCTATCGTCGTCGTCGTCGTCCTTCTCCTCCTCCTCCTCTTCCTCCTCCTACTCCTCCTCCTCCTCCTCCCTATCCTCCTCCTCCTCCTCCTTCTCCTCCTCCTCCTCCTTCTCCTCCTCCCTCCTCCCTCCTCCCCTCCTCCTCCCCTCCTCCTCCTCTCCTCCTCCTCCTCCTCCTCCTCCTCCTCCTCCTCCTCCTCCTCCCTATCGTCGTCGTCATCCTCCTCCTCCTCCGCCGCCGCCGCCGCCGTCTCCTCCTCCTCCTCCTCTTCCTCCTCATCCTCCTCCTCCTTCTCCTCCTCCTCCTTCTCCTCCTCCTCCTTCTCCTCCCCCTCCCCCTCCCCCTCCCCCTCCCCCTTCCAATTTCCAACCTCCCCCTCACCCTCCTCCTCCCCCGCGTCCCCTGGGAGGCGTGCCCGCCCCGCCTGGCGCGATGTCCCTCCGTCCGGCTCGAGAGTAGAGGGATCGCCCGCGCTGGCTCTGTCGCGCCTGCCCTTGGTGGGGCCCGGGCCGGGGCGGGCGGCGGCGGCGGGAGGAGGCTTCGGGGATCGAGGGGGAGGGAGGGAGCGAGGGAGGGAGGGAGGAGGAGGAGGAGGCTCCAAGATGGAGGAGGGAGGGATGGAGGGAAGACGGAGGGAGGGAAGAGGGAGGGAGGAGGGAGGGAGGAGGAAGGAAGAGGCAGACAGGAGAAGGATGAGGAGGAGAAGGAGAGGAGAAGGAGAGGAGGAGAGGAGAGGAGGAGGAGGAGGGAGGAGGAGGAGAGAGGGAGGAGGAGGAGGAGGGGAGGAGGAGGAGGAGTAGGTAGTAGTAGTAGTAGTATAGTAGTATAGTAGTAGTAGTAGTAGTAGTAGTAGTAGTAGTAGTAGTAGTAGTAGTAGTAGTAGTAGTAGTAGTAGTATAGTAGTAGTAGTAGTAGTAGTAGTATAGTAGTAGTAGAGTAGTAGTATAGTAGTAGTAGTAGTAGTAGTAGTAGTAGTATTAGTAGTAGTAGTAGTAGTGTAGTAGTAGTAGTAGTAGTAGTAGTAGTAATTGTAGTAGTAGTAGTAGTAGCAGTAGTAGTAGTAGTAGTAGTAGTAGTAGTAGTGGTAGTAGTAGTAGTAGTAGTAGTAGTAGTCTAGTAGTGTAGTAGAGTAGTAGTAATAGTAGTAGTAGTAGTAGTAGTAGTAGTAGTAGTAGTAGTAGGGAGGAGGAGAGGAGGAGGGAGGAGGAGGGAGGGGGAGGAGGAGGAGGATAGGAGGCGGGGGAGGAGGCGGAGGAAGGGAGGAGGAGGAGGAGGAGGAGGAGAGAGGATCGGGGAGGAGGGGGAGGGGAGGAGAGGAGGAGGAGGAGGAGGCAGGAAGCAGGAGGATGAGGAGGAGAAG